TACGAAGTCAAATTCTGCTATCATCTCGGCACAAGCTAAGAAATTGCCATTATTATCATTGTAAAATTGCTCACTGCTTCCTCTAAAAGCCAAATTGCGTTTGCCAAGAAATTTCACAATTGCAACTATTCTTAATAAAAACTAGCATCAAACGTTCTTTCTCCTTTGTAATTTGCTGCTGCAATTCTTTGTCAATTGTTTGCTTTTTCCGCAGTATAGCTCTCAATTCATTTCAACTGTTCATATTACTAATATGCTCGGCACTATTTTCATGGTCTTTAAGCTTCAAACTAATATGCCTCCAATCTCTATACCCATCATTTGCTAAGGCACTCGGATTCTTGCTAGTGCTAGACTTTGAAGATTTTACAGCAGAAACAAAATACTTTGTCAACATCATTTGAATAAACTAACCATTTTCTATCATGTAACTCTCCATTGCTTAGTTTTCTAGAATAATGGGCATATGAAAAATGCCTTGAGGCAGCATCATGAGGGAATTTGAAATTCTCTTCTCTTAGAGGCCCTTTCTCCACTAATATGTCTCGTGCTTTATTATCAAGTTTATCCCAATTTCTTGGATCATAAATATCCAAAGTGTAAACCGGTTGCTCATCAATACTAGTAGATTGTTCTTGTGCACCCGATGCATAAACGGTGTTCTCAGGGTCACTTACATTGTTATCATCGACACTGATGTCGACATTTTCTTCCTCATTCTCGTTAGTTGGTTCATCCAGAGCAACTATCGCCAGCTCATCAGGATTCGTCGAAGCAGCTGTACTACTCTTGAAAAAATTTATCAATAGATCCTCTTTGTGATTCTATCAATGCATCCACACGTCTTTTCCTTTTCCTTTTGTCATTACCAGATTCGAACTTTCTAAATGACATTATATCCCACGATCCTGAAATTTAAATAAACACAAAATAGTTAAAAAGTGAAAGCGTATGTAACTTGAAGCGTACAAATAAATTAATCATCAATATGTGCAGCAACGGTGCTTACCTTTGGATGGATGTGGACTGATCCTTTCTGTCCTCTGCCAACTGCCGTGGTGTGTGGATCTTGCGTGATGATAGATGAGGGCACGATGGATCAAGGATCACTGATGATTGACAGGATCATGGGATCGTCAGATACTCAGATCGAATAGAAATATAGAATAGTCAGGGAGCCTAAGAAGTGTACAGGTGCTCGATTACCTCCTAAGTCCTGATGTGTTGCATTGCTTCTGGCGGCCGCGCGCGCGTTCGCTCCGTCTTCCGAGCGGAATAGGGCCACACCACACAAGAGTCGAGTCAAATACTATAGACCTGAGACCTACGCTACTTCTGTATGACTATATTTGGACCATAGAAGCCCACGTACGTATACATATCAGTACTAATGCACTATATGGGGTGAGGCCTATGGCAATCCGAGGCCTAGTGAGGTGGCACACCCTGCACACCGCCAGGGCCGGCCCTGCCTCCATCTTGGCATGATGAAGATCCTAAATAGAGCCCATTTGTTTGAGTTTCTGCCATAAGTTGTAAGAAGCTACCTTGTCAGAAAAGCTACGGAAGAAAATTGCTTTGGGGGGGAAATATTTATGAAAGATTGCTTTTCAAATAAAATTATAGGCAACTTTTGAAACTTGCTTCTCAGAAAGGGTCTTTTTCGATTTCTCACCTGCTTTGAGAGTTGTACAAAAGCCATTATATTAGAAATTAGAATAGGCCTGAACAAGCAGGGCCATAGACACCATCAATGGATCTGTGCTTAATTTGGTTGCTACTCTCCTCCGAAAGTTTTCAAGTGCACACAATATTTTTCTGTTCTAATAAAAAAAGATTGTGTATGCAGAACTCTCTAATTAAAGCCCTATTTGTTTTAGCTTAGGATTTTGGGTTGTACTTTTTTACAATTCCAAGCTGAAATAAACGAGCAGCTTTATTTCTACACAGATTTTAACAAACTAGCTTGTCGGGTTAAGGGTTATTGCAATCCACTCTCCAATGGATTCTAACAGACTGTAGCATAGTACATGTTTATCCCTATGCCAGGGGAGTGTGAGGTTTTTGTTCTGTGCAGTATTTTCCTTTATTAGAGATAAATAAACGTGGGCTGCAGTGCAAAAGTAAACTCACGCTATATACATTCAGAACAGGAATATATATATAAGTCAAACAAATGCAGTAAAGAAGAAATGTGACCTGAACATTCAGAACAGGAGGAGAATGCACTGCAAATATTATTAACTTTTCAAAGAGAGGAGACCCAGAGAGCAAGCAGAACAGTGTCCGACGAGGCTGCTTCAACAGACGTGGCACTGAACCAGGGTGGTCGTCGCGCAAGGAAAGCTCGTTGAAGGCGCTGCTGAAGGCATTTATTTATTATTAGTAGGTTGTCATGTTGCGACGTCTCATGACAGTCCGTTGCCTCTTGTTGAGCTTCAGCGCTGGGAGGTGATCCGGAACTGAATGTGCAGCACGGCGGTTCGAATGCCTCCTGTTGCTGAGGAGCAGCAATGAGTCGAGGCCCCAGAGCATCAGGGTGCTGGGGCAGCCTCTGCCGAATGATTAAAATGCAAGTCAACGACATTGGCCCTGTTCGCTTATCTTATAATTTGTCTTTTTCAGCTTGTTTTTTTAGTCGGAACAGTGTTTTTCTCTCCCAACAAATCAACCGGAACAGTGTTTCGGCTTATTTTTTCAGCGAAGCGAACGGGGCCATTGTCAAGTTTTCTGTTAGAACATGGACCATGTTAGGCACGTGACATCTTATCTTACTATTACTAATCAGAGATCTCAAAGGAGGCTCTATGGAAACTACATAAAAGTAACATCCTAAACCTGCATCTAGTTACCCGCTAAATGACATAATATATTTTCTTATAGAGCTTGGCCCTACCAACTCTTACCATTTTTCACTTACCTAAATCATTAGTTTTTGCATAACTTAGATACTTAATTAGAAGAATTACCAGAACATTCTTGTCAACAAAGTGCAAGATCTTTGTTTATACTCCAACTCTGATCATATGTTTTTGTAAGGTTAACATACAAAATGTTTTTAAAACCAGCTCTAAACATTGACACCGATGTTATTTTCAGACTTAGAGAAAAGTTTAGGTGATCAATTTGATATTATATTCAGGCCAAGGCCTCAAATCTAAATTATATTTACTCTAAATTTTCAACTTGGTTCTAAACATATCACTTGTACTGCAATTTTCATGTTACCATGGTGGAAAGTGGTTATGTTAAAATCCATTTAAGAGCTAGTTCAATAAGGCTACTCCCTCCATTTCAAGTTGTAAGTCGTTTTAGCTTTTCTAGATACAGAGCTTTTATTATGTATCTATACATCATGTATATTTAGATACATGGTAAAATCTATGTACTAGAAAAGTCACGACGACTTACAATTTGGAATGGAGAAACTACTCAATTAATTTCTTTAAACTTAGCTTCTCCTCTTTGGGCCGATTTCAATGTAAGACTGACTTTTCAACCTCATTAGACAAGAGATCAAGTGTAACAATGTTTCTTTTTTTGCGGGTGTAACAATGTTTCTTTTAATGCTTTTAAGTTTAATTTTGAATCAAAACTTAATTTTAAGCGTGTGCTTTGTTAAAAAACTTTGGATTTTCCTCTAATACATATACCCAAAAAATACATGATAAAATAATACTTTGGGTGTGTTTGGTTTGAGAACAAGAGCGGATATCATATCGCCATCCATGGACTTCGGGATATGGATATCCATGCTTCCTGGATGGATAGGGAAAGTCATTTTTTTTGTTTTGTTGGATGGAGGAGGAGAGTAGAAGGGATAAAAATGCTTTAACTAACTGCATTTATATTATTTAAAAACAACAACTAATTATACACTAATAAATATGCACTAACACTAATTTTGTCATAATAATCACTAATTACAATAAAATATGTTAATTAGCACCACTATTATCCTAATTGGCATAAAAACATGCAGTAATCAACATATTAGCATGTATCAAAGTTAATCTTGCCATCATAATTATTAAGCAATAGTATAACATCCTAATAATCCTTAATTATTTGCTAATGACAAAGATCGGAAAATATGGATGAGCTCGTCAGGCAATTCTTTTGATGGTAGGGATATCTAGCATCTAGGAGAATGTTCTCCTGTCAGGGATATCCATATCTAACTTCTCCGCAAACCAAACGCCGCTTGTGCATGGACCGTCATCTCCCATCCATGCATATCCATCAAACCAAACGCACCCTTTCTGAACCATGAATTTAGATGATTTTTTCTGGATAATTCGAAACCATTTTGAGGCTAAACAACTTAACAAATACTCAAATATAGCATTATGAGCATAATATTAGTTTCAAAAGTATAAGAGTTATGATTGCAGATCCATGCAAAATAGGTCTCGCTTAGTTTTTGGCATATATTTGAAAAATTTGAAGACTTTTAGAGATTCATACATCTGTGGTTTTAAATTGACAAAGAAAAGCTAAAAAAATTAGAAAAAAAGGGACACACGCACGCCATTCACTTGGCGTCACTAAGTTGGAGAGCCACGTCGTCAGCCCTGGCGTGGCTCAACTGTCCTGTCACAGCTGGCGTGATCGAAGTCAGAAATTGTGCTGCAACCTCTAGTGATAAAAATGACTCGGTTATGAAACTTTAGTTGAAATAGGCACTTTTTAGTATTTGAGTTTATTTTTTGCTAAAATATAAAATAAATTCCCCAAAACTCAAATCTAGACTAGATCTAGTGATGTTGGACCCGGTCAGCCCAAGAAGGATCCGCCTGCCTTAAATTTGACGTTAATCTCGACACTGGGCCGATCTGGGCCTGCTTCTCGTTCGAGTTGGACCACGCCAGAAATAAGGGTCCCGTTCGACCGTCGGTGTCCACGGGCAGCGAACAATCGAGGCAAACGGGAGCGGGGCGGCGACGGCGGCGGCGAGCGAGGAGATCGAAGCAGCGAAGGAAGAGCAAGCGGTCGAGAGGATGTCCCTCCGGTCTCTCGGTTCCCTTCTCACCCGAAGGTTGTTGTCACCCGGGAGCGGGATCCCCCGTGCGCAGGCGAAAAAGGCACTAGCGCCGGCGGCAGGCGTGCCAGCACGCTCTTTCCACTCACTCGTGAGTTTATTTCACCCAGGTCAAAGCGCTTTCTTTCTTTAATTTGCGCTCGCGGTTCATATTCTCGTGACGGTGCAGAGGGATTTCGCTGTTGGTGATGGCGCAGGCGCTTATGGTGGTGTAGCCGCGGCTGCGTTAGCTGGATTGGTTGGAATTCTGTATTTCATGAAAGGTGCAGATGAGTCAGGTATGAAATAGTCTTCAAATTCCTCGCCTTTTGCTTTAATTTCGTTGTTCATACCCATATCTGTGCGTACCTATAGCCGGCGAGGTGACTAAGGAGGTGGTGGCTGGGGAGGAAGAGACTAAGGAGGTGACTAAGGTGGTGGTGGCTGGGGAAGAAGAGACTAAGGAGGTGACTCAGCAGGAAGCAAAGAAGCAGTTGGCTGGGGATGAAGCCAGGAAGCAAGGGGCCATAATAGATGCAGAAACCAAAGAGCACAATGACAACGACTTCTCCTTGGAGGAGTACCTTGCTGAGATGACGAAGATGGCTGCTGCGCAGAAGAAGGCTCGTTATGAAAGGTCTTGCAAGAAGGCTGTCAAGGAGGTGACAAACAGTGAAGGCATCAAGGATGAGGCAGCCATGAAGGACGAGGCGGCCATGAAGGCACGGTTCGAGGAATGGATCAAAGAGTATGGCAAGAGATACAAAAACAAGGAGGAGAAGGCTCGGCGCTATGAATTGTTCAAGGCTTTTGCAAATATGGTGGACAAGGCAACTGCAGAAGGTGGGGCCGTCTTTGTCACAAACCATACCGCAGATTGGACCGAGGAAGAGTGCCAGTGTCTGTATGATAGTGATGTTGACTGGGATGACTACATCGATCACATCCGGTCTTTAATTGATAAGAAGAATGCCAGGGCCAAGAAGCCTAGCAGGGACTGACAGTGTGGTATGTTGTTAATTTTCATCTTTGATCCAATGATTAAGGATAGGTTCACTAAATTAGTTTTGAGTAAATATTTTTTAAGAAGGGCTAAATGATCACATAATCTGAAGATAATAGGCAATAAATATATTTCACAATTCTGATTTGGTTGCTAGTAGCAGGCTAGCATGTTGGTTAGCTTGGGTGTTTATATAAAATTCTTGTATTAAAAAAAAACGTAGGCTCACAATTTGAATTGGCAAAGCGCTTGTTACATGATAAATTTGGAAATTGTGCTCCAGATATACCATTTGTGAAAGAGAGGGAGATCATCACAGGTCACACATAATTGCTTAGCGCATAGTCAGACCTTGAAGGCATTTAGTAACCAATTGTTCTTTTTGGCTCCTCTCGTTTTGTTTATTTTAACCAAGTTTTAAGTAGCATCTCATTGATCAGTTTTGTCTTCTACTTTTCTTTTCTGAAAGTTTTTTTTTTGTATTTTGCTTTGATTATTCATTCAGCATGAAATTCCTTGTTCTAGTTGATAGCCATGGTAGTGGAATTCTGATTTAAAATCACTTAATTGTTTGATGTATATGTTAAAACGTGTTTGCATGATGCCAGTTAGTCGAGGTTATATAATGTTTTTGCTGTGATGTATGCTCTATATAGTGGTACCACATGCAGCTAATGAGTTTGCTGATAAGTTGCTTTATCTCTGATCCAAATTCTTTGCTAACTTATCTAGACAAAAAAAAGGTAAATATTGTTGACATGTATCATGCAGAACTCAGGTATTCCAATGATTCAACATTTTCATTGTTTTAACATTTACACTTGCAAATGAGCTGGTGAATTTATCCAATGAAACATTATTTAACATTTCAGGTGGTATGTTCTCATTACTTAGTTGAGTTTATCTAGAGACCATACATTAATTGTAAATGGACACATTGTTATAAGCTTACTAAGCAAATGGAATTATTCTCAATGGCCAGGCCAGATCATATATGGATAACCATAGTACTGTACTTATTCACTTGTTTGATTAGATTTGAGTAAGATGTTGGTCATTACACTTTGTGGTTCCCTCTTTTTTCAGTACAGTTCCTGAAAGAAACACATCTTGTTTGCTTAAATTTCAGAAATAAATTGCAACTAATTGTTCACTGTTGCCAAATTTCCAGGAGACAGATGGCTAAGCATAAGGTCCAGGATGGGTGTCTGGAGGTAGTGAATCTAGCAGCAATTCTCACTCGGTTGTTTTTGGCAGCAATTCTCACTCTTAGAACTTGTAGCAAGTTGTATTATACCTAGGATATAGTGTACCTGAATGGATGCCACAGTGGTAGAAGTCTTCCCAAGACCTGAGGATAGCTGGATAGGAAGTACCCTAGTTTTGTTTTGCATGTTAACCTGCCACAAAGCAGATCCTTAAATCATGAACTGGATTGTTTACTGCCTGTGCACCCAAACAAGAAGCAGTAGGCTACCATATAACGACTGAGCTATTGTGAATTTCCCTAGGCTTGAAACGAACTCTATGTTAGTTTCGCAGTCTAAAGATCAAAGCAGACAATAATCAAAAGTTCACGATGCAAGGGGAAATCTACGTCTACTACCTCCGGAGTGTGTGTTTTCTGAGGAAGACGATGACCTCAAAGTATCAGATCGGTCACTTTCTAGTGTCCCTTTTCAAAAGAAAAAAAAACGAAGGCTAGATTTGTTTATCAGTTTGTTAATGTCACACCCTGAGATTCCTATTTGTGGATGTGCATAGAAACCCCTAAATGAGTAAACGATTTATATTTTTATAGAATCCTCCAACCTTTGACACCACTTGATTAAGTCTAAATTTGTCCATACATTTCTAGAAGACCTTGTGGTTTGGCACACCTCCGAGTTACTTTTCCTAGATTTATTGAGGAAGAACTTTTCATATACCTCACTTCACTTCCTATGTCTGATGTAACCAACAAACACATAAGAACTATTTCACATGAATCATGTAAGAGTTTCACAAGAATCAGATCAAAGAAAAACGTGGGAATAGAGAAAATTTTCTACATTCTAAATAGGCCCGAAAATTTCCACATTCTAAACAGGCCCTTACAGAAAATGCCTGAAAGAACTTTCCATAATACCTCACTTCCTACGTCTGACGTAACCAACAAACACATAAGAATAACAATTTCACAGGAATCAGTTCAAAGAAAATTGCAAGAACACATAATTTTTCCCATGTTCCAAACAAGCCCTTATAGAAAATGCCTGGAAGGAAGAACATGCCCAATTGTGGGTCAATAATGTGATACTAGTATTCTCTCCGCTTATATCTAGTAGTAATGTATAAAAAAATAGTACCACTCACTACCGAAAACTTCTTCCAATGCTTTAGCTCAACGTCTTGGTTGAATAGAAAATGAAGCAGAACATCATCCAGATAAAGCAAGAAGAAATCTTTATCCGCAAATATCAGGTTTGACATTTCCGATAAATAACAACCTGGAAAGATCAACCGTTTACTACATTTCTGGGTATTCATTCTCCACTATCATAGCTTTAGAAAACATGCATGTCACAGCATAGAAATACTAGTGACAGTGACAAAAGCTACCAGTACATGTTCACTGGCAAAACAGCAGATTAAGGCATCATATACAAGGTCTCCACATGTAAATCAGAAATGTAGCCTGTTCCAGTCCCTACTATACCTGCCTCCACATCACTGTATTACTTTTTTTTCATAAGCATTTCAATTTGTGCTACAGTTTTCCGTTCTGTTACCACCTTTCTGAGACAATTCAACTTGCTTATTTCTTACAGTCAATGATGGGAATATAGCCAAGGTAACGAGTGATTCCAGCCACTCCGTTCTTGTCAGCCACTCCTCGTCTGAGCTTTGCGAAGCCCCCATCACCCCACCAAGTACCCCAACTATTCTTAATCTTCCAGAATTTGTTTCCCTCTTTGTCGGTGCCATACCCAACTACCAGTACAGCATGTGAGCGCGCTCCACGATCACCATCAGCAGCAGGGCGGCTGTTGTGCAGCCTGTTCGCTTCGCTTGGTTGAATTTGTTGTGCAGCCTGTTCGCTTGGTCGAATTTGACTTATAAGCCATGGCTTATCAGCCAACGAATAGTATTTTTCTCTCACACCAAACCAGCCAACAGTACTTTCAGCCATGGCTTATAAGCTAAACAAGCCCAAACGAACAGAGCGGTGATATTCAATTATGCCATCACCTTTGAATCCTCGAAGATATGGGCAAACATCAATAGGTACTGCTACGGGTTGTTTCGCCACTGCTCTCATCAAAGCCTTTTCATTTGAATTTACATAATCGTAATCATCGATCTTCAAAACTACATCTTTCTCTCTCGAACGGCATTTCCCATGCCACAAGAGACGCGATGGGTATGCCTTGGCAGCCATGAGTCCATGATTTTTGGCATAGTCATATGCGTGGTACAGTTGGCCACCAGCACTGCAACCTTTGCCAATGATAACCCGGATATCACCTTTATGCCTCATGACCCTCTTAGCACAATCAAGAACTTGCTGAACTGACAGGTTAACAAGCTCACCATTCCTGATCATGTGAAGGCCTTCCATAGAACCTACAGATGCATAAGCCCAGCACCCTCCGCAGAGACACTGATCCTGGGGAATGGTTACAGCACCTTCAGCCGTCCAATCGACATTTTCTGGCACTGAAAGCATATAACCAAAATTAAGGACCAACCGAAGCCACACAACATAACAACCAGAACTACATTATTCTACATGGAAATCTAGTAACACAATCAAAAAATGTTAATGAGATCTCTTCCTATCAAGACCATCAGTGACACCACACAACAAAAGAAATTGTAGCACACATTGACCTGTGCAGCGAAGTGATTCTTAATTACTAGCAATTGGCTGCACAATGAAACATTTGCTATTGAACTTTGTAGAACATAACTACATGAACGTCTACCAAGTACCAAGACAGATTCAAGCATGCACATGGATGCTAAGAAAGTTGTGCCAGATTCCAATGGAACATCAATAAATCAAATCTTCACAAGTTGCTACAACTGGCATCCAGAATTCAGGTGGCCTAGGCTACCTAGTAGCCTCGTTACTAACAATAACCAAAACAGTAGCAAACAGACCTTCCTCTTCATCTGAGATACCAACAGCCTTTGCTGAGGAGACTCCAGGTGAGGCCAGCCACATTCCCAGCAAGGTGGATAACGTGGTGACAGCAAGAATGACTCCACCAGCAACACCACTACTAGCTAGCATGGGAATCCCCCTTCCCAGTGAGAAACCTGCGAGATTGGGAATTAATGTAAGGGAAGTTAGTCACATAATCACGACATCGTGTTGGTCTTGCTTCTGGACGCCAAGACACGAACGAGAAAGGTACGTACTTGTGTACAAGAAGATCCGGCTCTCCATGGGTATTGGCAGCGCCTGCGCCTCCAAGATAGCTCGGCGGCCACGAAATCAGAAGTGGATGATGTGATCTCTTCCCCGCCGCCGACCGTAGTGCCTTCTCCAAGATCGCCTGCGAGGTACCGGTGCTGGAGCTGCCGCGGGAGAATACCGAACCCAATGGCCGGGACCGGGAGCCATCCCTCCCGGACTCCTTGCCTTCACCGCCGCGCGATCGTCTCGCCCTCGCCGTAGGGTTTAGGTGCTATCGGGCCCGAAATGGGCCTACGGAGGCAAGAAAACCCGCCTGAGCCTGCGGTGGCCCAATGGTCTCATATCATTCATTCCCATTCCATCAGGCATGGCACTCGCCTTGGAATACACAGAAGCAATTGGCCCATGCGGTGAGCCCACTAGACACGGCCCAAAAGCAAATTCATTTTGTACACAGTGCACAGACAATAGAGTGCTGTGCAATCAACATGAATTTTCACACGGCACTGCTAGCTCATGGCTGCAGTCCGTTTCGCCTGACGATGCTGCTTTTAGAAAACTGCGCCCCAACTTCATGCGTCTGTGTTGCCCGC